TACTTTTTAATTGTAGACATAATAAGTTTTATAGATTATTGATAAGAATTTCATTTTTTTTGTATAAAATTGTTTAAAACCTTTTGATCTAATAAACAATGTGTACAATAATAAAGATCTGGATTTTTACAAACATTAAATAATTGTGTTTATTATTATAAACGTTAATTTTTAAAACTTTCTCAAAATAATAATTTATTGATATATCATACTTTCGGTAGAAGTTAAGGTCTTTATAGTTATATTACTAATAAGACAATTGGTCAAACATCTTAAACAACATTGTAAGTATTTCCAAAGTCAATCTAATTCGTAAGTGATAAAGTTAATGGATTTAAACAATGTATTTTTATTCATTTATAGATTATTTTCAATATAAATCGTTTGTAAAATTAATATAAAATAGTAATGTATAATTAACATTGAACAATAATTCAACATAAAGTTCCCAAATAAAACCAATCATGTACTTTTAAAATAGTTTTTCATAATTCCCTGACACATTAACAGTAACTGTGTAAACAAGTTAACATAAAACTTTGAATAATTAACTAACAAGTAGCGCTTTATATTATTCCTGTAATTCACTATTAGATGTAAAATTGTAAACGTGAATATTAAACTAGAAAATATTCATGCTTGATAAAAATATGTAGTACATATTGTGTACCCCACACTTGACAATTATACAATATAAGAAATTAATAATCTCAGATTTTAAGGCATTTTAAAATGTTTTAAGGCTTTATAATCGCAGTGCACTTTAAAATCATACAGCATTATTGTGAGTGTGCACATTTAACTTGCAGCTTAAAACTTCTCAAATAAATAGTAAGCAAATGTGTAAAAGTTTCATCTGATTTTATTTACAAAATATTTAGATTATATAAAACACGATTAAATCAAAAAACAAAGCAAAACACATAGTATTACAGATGAGATTAATTGATAAGTGGCTCTAAACTGAATCCCACATTATAATTTCGTTTGGGATTCACTTTAAATAAAAATTAATTTACTCGCAGTTCATATGAAAGGTCACTGTCAGCACAACTGCTCTGTGGTGGGAGAGGGCGGCTATATCTGTGTCTGTCCCCGGTATGTATACCCACTACATATTAGTTTGTTAACCTAAACTTAAACTTATAATATATTAAACCTCTAACCCATTAGTGGATATCAAATCCAACTCAACGACACAAAACTTTGCGAAGATATCAATGAATGTTCGGGTTTTGGTCACAACTGCTCTCAGACTTGTGTCAACATTGAGGGCACCTATACCTGTAAATGCAAACAAGGCTTTGAGATGATTGACGAACGGTGTGTCGTCAAGAGTGAAGTGCCGGCATTTGTCTTATACACTGACGGACCTGATATAAGAGCTGTCGATTTGTCACAACAGCACCAGTCATCACTGGTCGCCGGCGAGAGTCGTGTCCAGTCTTTAGACTTTGATCCAATCACCGGTATATCATATATTAAAAATTGTGTTTAAAATAATATGACGAACTCATTGTGCTATTTGTTTGACTTCAGATATACTCTATTGGACCGATACATACGATAAGACGATAAAGAGAGCAGTGATTCCAAACCCAAGTGATCCTGAGCATGGAAATGGTTTCTCACAAAATCTGGACCTCAAAGGTCTTACAAAACCAGTGGACATTGCCGTCGATTGGGTCGGAAGGTTAGAAGTGTTTGTTAACATTCAATATAAATAATATTGATTGCTAACTTACTGAACACATTTCCTTGGACATAACCTACCTGTACCTAGACAGTTTGTCGTTTGGGTTTCCTGCGTATAAACGGTCAGAAGAGCTGCCAGCTATAGCGTTTCGTCACCAGCAGACCGGACTAGAGAGGCCAACATCCGTAGCACTTGACCCAGAATTAGGGTATATTTAGACCGATTGATTAATTTTGTGATTTATTTTAATTTTGATTTCACCCGCAAAACAGTCGCATGTTTTGGACGGACGCCGGAATCCAGCCTAAGATCGAGTCGAGTTGGATGGACGGGAACCGACGAAAATTGATTATCAACGAGAAGTTAGGTTATCCGACGGGTCTGACCATCGACTACGAGGCCGGACACCGACTGTATTGGTCCGACTCGAAGCTCAATACTATAGAGTCGTCCAATTCGGACGGAACCAATCGCGTGACTGTCATTAGCGGCGAACTGCACCACCCGTCCAGTCTGGATATGTTTGAGGATCAGCTGTATTGGGTGACCCGAGACACCGGAGAGATCTATCGTCACGACAAGTTTGGCCGCGGAGTCAAAGTGAGAGTCCGGCGCTCCTTAGAGCACGCGACGGATGTGAAGATCTATCAGGAAAAGAAATACAACACAACCCGTAAGTGGTTTGTCCAGTGATTTAGTGATCAAATCTCTAATGTTTGCCCCTATTTTTGCCATATATTAGTGTCAAACCCATGCCAAAGCGCTTCCTGTTCCCACTTATGTCTGCTGATTCCGGGCGGATATCGGTGCTCATGTCCCGACTCCACCACTTCGGTGGTCAGTGTGAACGGCAACTGCAATACAGCCTACGAACAGCCAAAAGCCGTGCCCTACCGGTGCCAGTGCCGGAACGGCGGCTCATGTATTCGCAGCGAACAAGACTTGTCTAAAATCGTGTGCAAATGTCTGGACAACTTCGAGGGAAACAATTGCGAGGAATACATACCCCGCAGTCAGATCGGTGGCGACAACGACAAAGTGTTTGCTGAAGTGGTTTTGCCCATAATTATAGTTCTCATGACTTTAGTGGTGGCGGTCGTGCTCTACACTTACTTCAAGAAACGCAATTTGTAAGTCGTTTAGAGATTATTACCTTGATAATATAGTTATTAATTCAATGTTTGTTTTACGAATTGCAGTAAAAACGGAATCAATCAAAGCGTGTCCTTCAGGAGTGGCACTAACGTAGAGTTTGGTGGACCAGCTTTTATGCACAACGGCCCCAGCGATGGCTCACAACCTGTAAGATAATTAGATGTTTATTAGTGAGTCAGTGATTATTAAATGTTTGATTTGCATGAATTAGGCGCCAATGGACCAGGAGTTCAATTTGGGAGACATAAAGTCCACGGATTTCGAGAACCCGATGTACGAAGAGCTGGAGAGCAACGGCACCGACAATAACGTGAAGAAAGTGAACAACGAAGCGATTCCGTCGAACACCGGCTTATATGAAGTGCCGGACGAGTTGTACAACAAGAAAGTGCCGATCGATGTGACCAACAATTACGACAAGTCGGTGACCGGATCGGCGGTACTGCCGCCGTCAAGCGTCACTCACCGGTCCTCACCGCAGGTCCAGATCAGACAACTCTCACTGAACCCCACTTCGGTCGACACCGACAAAGACACGCAATATTTAGTAGAAGAGGACAAAACGGACTGTTAATGAGTGTTACTTACAAAAAAATATGTTTAATACAACTGTTAATAAGTGCTAATATTAACTGTGAATATATTGTTATTCAAATTGAACTAATTATTAGAGAAATCATACCATAATTCAGTGCATTATAGGACGAAAAAAGCCTTAACCGACGAAAAGACATTGTTTTTTATATATATGAGAAAAGTTTTAAAAAAGTTTTTAGTTTTGAAAAGTGCAACAAATGATTCCGATTGTGGTCTTTAAGCTGAAGCATCGGTTCCGATGGCAACTAATGAGAAGACCAGTTGTGATATTTTTTTAACTTCTTTTTCGCGAAAACAAATACAAAAACACTTTTTTCCCGATCATTGCGTTTCTCCCTACCATTCATCGCATTTGAAGTTCATTTCTATGTATACATAATATTTCTGATGAATAATTCCGTAACAAATTCAATGTGTTTTTAAATGTGAAGTACGAAAATGTATTATAATTATTGTTAATTTGTTAAGACTATAATATATTAAGTACTTCGCGTATAGTATATATAAATATATATATATAAGGGGTTTGAATGAATTCAATGCTTAAAATTATCATGCTACATTTATTATAATGTCGTCCATCTCTGGTCATGAATTGCCATTATTTTTGTAATACAATTAGGTTTTTAGTAATTTCTGTCCACTATTTTTTAATTGACTTATTATTTTGTAGATTTTTTATTTATATATTTTTTATAATGCAATAAAAACGACATAATTTTTTATAATTTTATACTATCGACTGAAAAAAGTTTGCACACAATTTTTTTTATAAAAATTAATAAGCATTTAATGCGAAAACTATTATAAATCTCGAAACTGTTGTCCAGAGATGAGAGTGAAAAAATGATTACATAATTTCATTTAAGATTATTATTAATTAAGTCACAAGAAATCAAAAATGTTATCAAATATAATATATGACAAAATGAATTAATTTCTAGTATTAGTCATTTGTTTGAAGATTTACACATTAATAAATTTAAATGAGAGTTACTTTTTAATTGTAGACATAATAAGTTTTATAGATTATTGATAAGAATTTCATTTTTTTTGTATAAAATTGTTTAAAACCTTTTGATCTAATAAACAATGTGTACAATAATAAAGATCTGGATTTTGACAAACATTAAATAATTCCGTGTTGTGTTTATTATTATAAATGTTAATTATTAAAACTTTCTCAAAATAATAATTTATTGATATATCATACTTTCGGTAGAAATTAAGGTCTTTATAGTTATATTACTAATAAGACAATTGGTCAAACATCTTAAACAACATTGTAAGTATTTCCAAGCCAATCTAATTCGTAAGTAATAAAGTTAATGAATTTAAACAATGTATTTTTATTCATTTATAGATTTTTTTCAATATAAATCGTTTGTAAAATTAATATAAAATAGTAATGTATAATTAACATTGAACAATAATTCAACATAAAGTTCCCAAATAAAACCAATCATGTACTTTTAAAATAGTTTCTCATAATTCCCTGACACATTAACAGTAACTTTGTAAACAAGTTGACATAAAACTTTGAATAATTAACTAACAAGTAAGCAGCGCTTATTCCTGTAATTCACTATTAGATGTAAAACTGTAAACGTGAATATTAAACTAGAAAATATTCATGCTTGATAAGAATATGTATTATAGTACATATTATGTACCTCACACTTGACAATTATACTAAATTAATATTATATAAGAAATTAATAATCTCAGATTTTAAGGCATTTTAAAACGTTTTTAAGGCTTTATAATCGCAGTGCACTTTAATATCATACAACATTATTGTGAGTGTGCACATTTAACTTGCAGCTTAAATAAATAGTAAGCAAATGTGTAAAAGTTTCATCTGATTTTATTTACAAAATATTTAGATTATATAAAACACGATTAAATCAAAAAAAACAAAGCAAAACACATAGTATTACAGATGAGATTAATTGATAAGTGGCTCTAAACTGAATCCCACATTATAATTTCGTTTGGGATTCACTTTAAATAAAAATTAATTTACTCGCAGTTCATAATTAATTGAATGAAACAACTGTTTCGTACAAATTTATATGAAAGATAAGACTTTTAATATTTTGATCGCTTTTATGTGGACCACAGGCTCTCTCTCTCTCTCTCTCTCTCTCTCTCCTATTATTCTCTCTCTTATCAAAATATATTTTCGCATATATTTTGAGCCCAAAAACATAAATGATTGAAAACTCATCACTAATTTGAATACCTATTTGAATATAGGGCTGAGAAATAATAGCAAAAAATTTGTTCGCATATTATGATTAAATCGTGATCCCGAGCCATACGTATGGAGTCTATTATTTGAGAAATTCATTAAATCAGGAAGTCTTCAGTCAGTGCCTCATAACTCTACACTCCATTCAGTGCTACGAAAAAAAATATTTTGTACTCAAATACATGTTAAATATATATATATTTGTAGTTTTAAATTAGATTTATTTTATCCGCGTTTAATTATTTCCTGCTATTCTTTAGATTTTTCAAAAATATATTGTGTTTAATGAATAAATAATTCAAACCAATTAAAACTTTTCCGAAAAAATATAATTAATAAATATATACGTAAAGTATGCCCAAAAATCTAAATAAGTTAAAATATTTCTAATTTTAGAGTATAGCACACAATGTATAATGGTTTTAATTTTGATTATTATCGTATATTTACTAATAATGTAAGATTTTTAGACAATTGTATAGCTTTAAGAGTCTGGAAGGTGTTTGGACTCGAGTTAATTGAATAAGAATATTAGCTAATTTTATTTTTATCTAGGCAAGTCCAGGCAAATTTAATCCGTTAATTAACGGCCTGTAATGTTTTTCAAACAGTGCGTACGAGTGACAGACACTTAGAAATGCAATTAATTTCATGCTTTAAATGTGTGAATTATTTGCCCATTTAAGCGGACTTTAAATTCTTGGTAATCATAATAGAGAGACTGATTATGGATTCATACGAATGCCATAAATAAGAGTTATTTCTCGAAAATACATAATTTAAATGAATGTGTTGTTTGAGTGCAATATATTTTGTGTCGGAATTTGATTATCAGTTCAAAGAGGTGTTGAGCCCTTACGAGACGTCTGAAGCGATGGTTTATTAGAGACTCGACTTAATGACAGCCAAACAGATGACCGGCAAAACTGACTCTAATTATACCATAAATTGTATGTATTGTAAGCGAGAACTGCGAGTGTCTCGCACCTTATGATGAGGTGTTTCAACAGATTTATAGCACTGGAGCTCATAATTTAACAAACTTTTTATGAGGAATGGTATGTTTGGCGAGCCTTTGATGTGTAGTGAACGGCTGATGCGCTGCAATTCAATGACATGGGGTTAAGGCATCGCCGGTGAGGCCATAAATTTTCATCAATAAAGGCGATGCGACGGTGCTCTCGGGGAACGACCAGTCAATATACATACAATGCCTACCGGTGCGCCTACCTGTCAATTGGTGGGTACTTGTTTGCACTCTCCAAACAGCCAATACATACCTAACCGCACATCTCAAGCCTTATATTCTGTACGCATAATACTGTATGCATTTCTGTACTACATGTATAGTTATGTAATGTAAAGTATAACCCAATATAGTTCCTCAATCATAACACCTGTACTCTGGATCGTTAAAAATAACCTTTTCGTATACACCTGACAACCCCTGAACCAAAATAATGTTCAAAATTCTACATTTTTATTTTTTGTTAAATTTTAAAATAGTATCCGAAAGATAACAAAAATGAGAATTTATTCACTCTTATGAGTGAACAACACAATTGTGGTCAATGTTTAATATAATTGTAAATGAAGTTTAAATAAAGTTTGCAATTTCTAATTCAGTTCGTGACCCCTATTTCTATACTTATATACAGTAACATAAAGTTATAGATATATTACGGCTTTAATTAAGACTCCAAAGAATTTCTGTTGTGTTCAGCGGTTTTTGTTGTATTTTTTTACACAATTCATTCATTTATACGAAATACTCAATGAATGAATGATGGCTTCAGTGAAAACTTTTAGTCAATTTAGACGTGAATTTGAAATTTTAATTTTGGATTTAAAGTTTTTAAAAATGTACTCAACGTTTATATGATGAGGAAAACTACTATACATTCGTGTATTTCATTAAAATAATTTTTGCCAATAGTTTTGACAAAAGATGTTAAAATTTTCAGATAAGAATATGAACCAGTTGAAAAGTTAAGCTCAAGATTAACATTACTATAGTGTGCAGCTATTATATAAGTTAACATTACAATGAATTCATTTTTATTTCATTAAAACATTTTTCATCTCTTTATTCAAACTCATTGTGTTTTCTTTTTATCCACAAAAAAGTTTTCACATTTATTCCATAGTTTTCCGTATTTTAACTCAATTATATTGACATTCAATTGCAAACGACCAAAAACTCTAGATTAATAATATGAATAACGAATTCAATTTAAAAACTTCTCTCTTTTGAATGAATGAAAAATGTTTTTTCCACTGCGAGAGTCAAACAGCAAATTGTATTGATATTCACACAAAGTATAACATTTAAGCCGTTTTATTAATAAAAAAGATGAAAAAGAGTATATATCTGTGAAATGAATACAGGAATTGTATTGAAATGAATGCAAAGTTCGGGTAAATTTTATACTAGAAATCCGAGTGAACGAGGACTTAGCCGATCGTGACTATTATGAAAGCGTATTCAATACGACTTGTGTGGTCATTAGGATCGCTATTTTGTGTGGACTCTTATTATGATTACAAACTCGGATGACATGAAAAATCATCAAAAACCATTCACTCGATTCTTACCATTTCTTTATTGTATTTTACGAAAAATTTGTGTGGTCATTAGGATCGCTATTTTGTGTGGACTCTTATTATGATTACAAACTCGGATGACATGAAAAATCATCAAAAACCATTCACTCGATTCTTACCATTTCTTTATTGTATTTTACGAAAAAATCTCTTTCATATTATATGACAACAAATATTCATGAAAATTGCAGTCTCTCTCTCTCTCTCTCTCTCTCTCTCTCTCCCTCGCAATCTCCGGTACTTTAGTTATGCTTTTATTTAATTTACAATAAAATCATTTTACTGGATGCCGAAAGTAAAAATTATATACACACACAAAAAGGCTAATCACATGTTTAATAGCGAATGGGTTTGTTTAATATATTTATATCTATTTATACGAAAAACTCTATAAGACCTCAATCCTAGTCCATAACAGATTCGCGATTTGCAAAATACAAATCATTTAATTCCCATAAAACACTTTACTTAATGTGAATCTTTATTTCATTTAAAATGAAAATGTTTTATTTTTGTTTAATTTATTCACAAATGATGAATTAAATTATTACATTTGAATACTAATCAGAATATCATTGCATTTAAAATAATTTGTATTATCTTTTTAACTGTTATACAGTATGACTTTCATGAAACTAAAATGAGTTTAAAACAACTTCAATAACAGACTGTTTTTAAATACTTAACATTTAGATGAACTCAACATTAAGAAGAATATTTAGGATAATAGACTTGTGTTATAATTCAACTGGTAATTTAAATATTAGATTAAAATATAAAATAATAAATGTATTAATCAATAACCTGATAAAGGATACTGTTTAGTCAAGTTTCGTAAGAAATTGAAAGTATTTTTTGATATGAGACTATGATGGTAATAAATTA